ACCACTTCTTGAGATATATTCTTTTTTTTAATTTTTAAAAAAAGTTTAATTAAAAACAAGTTATTGTTATCTTTTTACTGCGTTGGGTCTTCACTGCCATGTTCGAGGGCTACTCTCCAGTTGCACAGGCTTCTCACTGCAGAGGCCACTCTTGTGGAGCGTGGGTCCCACAGCACTCAGGCTTCAGTAGTTACAATGTGCAGCCTTAGTTGCCCTGCAGCGTGTGGAATCTTCACGGATCAGCGATCAAACCTGTGTCCCATGCACTGGCAGGCAGATTCTTAACCACTGGACCACCAGGGAAGTCCTCCTTGAAGTATATTCTTTTTTTTTTTTTTGAAGTATATTCTTTACCAAAGATTTGTGGGTGGAAAAGTGTTGCACTTCCCCGAAAAATCTCTGTTTTGCTTTGTTCCAGAGAAATTGTTTTCGCTGGATTTACGTTTTTAAGTTGACAGTTACTTTCACCTCTTGGCAGATGCTCTTCTGCTGTACCCTGGATTCTCTTGCAGTTGATAAGAAACCAGCTGTGGACTGTCATTCCTTTTCACACATTTTATTTATTTATTTTTGGCTGCGCTGGGTATTTGCTGCTGCAGGAGGGCCTTCTCCAGTTCCAGAGAGCAGGGCTACTCTTCGTTGCACTCTCAGGGCTTCTTGTGGTGGCTTCTTCCTGGACCAGGGGTCAAACCTGTGTCCCCTGAATTGGCAGGCGGATTCCTATCCACTGCACCAACAGGGAAGTCCTGTCATTCCTTTTTTTTTTTTTTTTTTTTTGCAGGGAGGGTGTTTGCACAATGGTTATACTCAGATTTTTTTCTTTAATTATCTGGAATATTTGAGGGAGAAACTTCTCCTCATCAACTATTTGGCCCTTCTTTTGGTGCAGTTTATGCAGCAAAGGCAGATTGAGTGTTGCTATTTTCCTTTTTTATTTACCTTTTATTTTGAATAATGAATTGGTTCCAAAGGTGAACAATGATTTCTTTATAGTACCATCATGAATATGTGAGTGTCAACATATCTAATGTGTTTCAATACATTTCAGTCATTTATTTATGCCACTCAAATTTTTTATTACTTTGGCCAGTAGGAGCCATTTGAAGTTGTCTCCTGAGTCCTTTTGGAATGACCCTAGTAGTTTTAGATAGTGTCCTTTATTTCTGGTATGATAAAATGTTTCAATCTCATCTTACATACTTCCTGCCTCAGACTTGGAATTTGCCCTCTTTCCAAAGAGCCTAGGTTCATTTTCGTGGATAACACTAGAGATCACTATCTTATGCTAGGGTAGAAGATAATAATTTATTAAAGACTTAGGAATGAGCTCTGTGGATATTTGGGAGAATAGCACTGTAGGCAGAAAGAACAGCAACTGCAAAGACTCTGAGGCTAGAGCAGAGGCAACATGAAGAGAACAGTGGAAAGTCAGAGAGGTGATGGAGAGCAAGCCAGGTAGGAACTGGTTTATGCTTGGAGTGAGATGGGAGCCACTGGAAGGTTTTGAGCAGAAGAGTGATATGCTTGGTTTGGTTTTAACTGAATCACTGTGAGTACTGGGTATGGAATGACTGAGCAGGATTTAGAGCAGAGTCTGGGAGACCAGTGGGAAGGCTAACATAATAAACCAGATGCAAGATGATGTGGCTTGGCCCAGTGTGGAAGCATTGGGGGTAATGAGAAGAGGTCATGTTCTGGAGGGGGCTGTCCTTGACATGTTCAGATGCTTGTCTATTTCTCCCACATAACCTCTCACTCACTGTGGATCTTGATCATTTATTTTCTCCTTCTAGCTTTGACAGTCTTTTTTCCATCCTATAGTTCACAGGATATTTTGTAGACATGTTCTTTTTGAAATTTTCTCTGAAANTAATTGCTTTCTGGCGGGAAACCACCATACTCAAAAAGTCGAAGCAAATCATAGTATTGCCCATGGATATCACCACATATCTTGAGTGATGCTTCAAGTTCTAGCAGGATAGGCTGACTGAGAAAGATCTCTCGGGACTTTAAGCACAGTCCTCTGATTTCATTCTCCTGTAGCTGGACATTTTTACCAGGCTTGGACCCTCTCACTTCCAGCAGCCGTTGGATGATGCTGTCGATGTTGAGTTTATCTATATCCGCCATCGCCTTCCCACCGCCGACCTTCCAGCAGCGGCGCCGCCGCCGGCTCGCGCCCGGGATTCACATCTCCCTTCCCACGCCACGAGCACAGAGATGGTGGTGGCGGCGGTGGCAGAAGCCGCGGTGGGTCCCCCCCAACCGCCCCGCTCCCTGCTTCCTCCTTCTCTCCCCACTGGAACCACGAGAACCTGTCATTCCTTTTGATGGAAGAAATTTTCACATATCGAAGTATATGAAAGTCATTCTAACTTATACGTGATGTAATTCAAGCTTTATGATAACCAAAACAGCCCGCCTGTGGCCTATCAAACATATTTGGCTCAGTTCAGTTCAGTTCAGTTGTCAGTCATGTCCGACTCTTTCCCATCCCATGAACTGCAGCACGCCAGGCTTCCCTGTCCATCAGCAACTCCAGAAGCTTGATCAAACTTATGTCCTTCGAGTCATTGTACATTTGCTTTTAACCCTTTTAAAAAGTGAAAATGGAGAAATTGCGGTTCAGGCATCCAAATTGGAGCTGGATGGCCATTGTGGATATGGTTTCAGACAGGTTCCTCCATCACTGAGAACTTGAATTTTCTGGACTGTATCAGACTCAAAGACACCACCAGGCATTCTCAAAACAGTGTCTGCTAGCAGCTGCCAGCTGCAACCTGAGACCTCAAGGTCTTCCCGTAAAACTAGGCAACCATTTTGGACCCTAACCAATCCTTGCTTAATAAACATCTTTATTTCTTGCAGCCTCTGATTATAATCTTGATTTTAAAAAAACATATAATTTTGCAGTTTTTGCCTTTATAAGCTGCCTCCATCTTGTAGTCTAGCAGAACACAATTGAAGTGCTTCTTAACTCTGTATTTCCAGGGCTGTAGCTCTCAGTTTGGCTCAAATAGAACTCTTTTCCAGTCCTAATAATAGATTTTTATTGTTTCTGTTGATACTTTATAGGTAATGTCTTTTCTGCCTGGTTGTTCTTTATTTTCGGGATACTGCAGTATTCCTTTTATTTAATCTTCTTTTCAATTTGTTATGTTTTCTCAGTCCAAGGATTTGAGTCTTTCCTTGATTTGGGGAATATGGTCATCTTTTTATTTGTCTTTGTATATTGTCTCTCCCCTAGTCTTCCAAAGATCTCTTTTTGGAATTACTATTAGAGGTGTGTTGAACTTTGTCCCACTATTCTCCATGTCTCTTAAACTCATATTATTTTTATTGGCGTATAACTACTTTACAATGTTGTGTTTCTGCTGCACAGTGACATAATCAGCTATATGTATCAGTTATATGCGCACATATATCCCCTCCCTCGTGGGGTCTCCCCCCAGGCCCAGTCCCACCCATCTAGGTAACCACAGAGCATCAAGTTGAGCAGCTCCCCGTGCTACACAGGTTCCCATTAGCTAGCTATTTTACACACAGTAGTGTATTTATGTCACACCCAATCCTCCAATTCATCCCACCTTCCCCTGCCCTGTGTCCACATGTTCATTCTCTGTCTGAATCTCTATTCCTGCCCTGGAACTAGGTTTATCTGTACCATTTTTCTGGATTCCACATATGTGTATTAATGTAGGATATTTGTTTTTCTCTTTTTGATTTATATCATTGTGTATGGCAGACTCTAGGTTCATCCATGTCTCTACAAATGACATAATTCCATTCCTTTTTATGGCTGAGTAATATTCCATTGTATATATGTACACATCTTTATCCATTCATCGGTCAATGGACACTTAGGTTTTGGGTTTTTTTTTTGACACTTAAGGTTTAAACTCATATTTTCAACTCCAGTTTCTCTGTGCTACATCATTATGTTCTCTTTAGATTTGTCTCTCAGTTTTCTAATTTGTTGTTTAACTTACCCATTGATGTTTTAAATCCAAATGATTTTTTCATTTCTAAAAGTTCTTTTCAAATACCCTTTTCAAATACTCTGATCATTTCTGAGAATCTCTTGCTCCTTGTTCTTAATTTCAACTCTTTCTTTTTGTCTTTAAGTATGTTAAGCACATTTATTCTCTATTATATACTTGATAATTCTGATATATAAGGTTTTTGCTGGTCTGATTCTGCTCATTGTTGATTCTGCTAATCCTCCCTTTAGGGTGCCTCATTTCCTTGAGTATTTTTGTGATTTCTTTTTGTTATCTCATGTTCATTGGTAGTTTATTGGTGGGAATCCTATGAAGCCTGGTAGAAGTGTGTTTCCCCGAGATTAATTATATGTACTTATGACAGGTGCTGGGGCAAGGTGCTATCCACCAGACACCTTTTATGCTCATCCCAACTTGGATTTTTCAGATTATGCCAGTTGTGTGAATTTGAACCAAAATTCCACGTAAGAGTTACAAATTCTCAAAAAGTAAACTATTTCTCTCCTATCAAAGACAGAAACAGACATATGCATTTTATTGTTATTTAACTCTTTTGCAGAGAGTACAGTCCTTAAGCTTTCTATGTACAGGGGTTTCTTTTTCTTTCATGGAACCAAGGCTTTGTCTTCACCTCGCCTTTGAAATCAAAATCCCTAACTTACCAGACAGTGGCAATTCCCCCAAAGTGATTACTAAGCTTTACTACCTTACCTATCTTAATTCAAGTTTAGAATTAATTTTTGTCCTCTTAAAGATTTCTTCTAATTTATTCTAAGCTCATTTACACATTTGAAGAGGATGGTTGATATGTTTTATGCTACATTTAGGTGTCTTGTAATAAAGTGTGTTTTGTCTTATTTTTTTGTCACGGTGCCCAAAATGAATCCTCCTTGGGTTTTCTTCAGTATCTGCAGTCAGCCTCTACTGTCCTCCTCATTCCCTGCCAAATATCCTTTTTCGAAACCCCCAGACCACCTTCGTAGAAAATACGATGTTGTGAAAAGTTTTAAGCCTCTTGGTATTTAAGAGATATTGACAAGGTCACCAATGAGCAGATAGTTAACTGCTTTGCCATAATCAGCGACTCTGCTCTGTTTGGTCTAGTGTACTTATAGGAAGAAACAGGAAGAGAGGGCCTGGGGTTCTAGCATTTGAATTTAACAGTCAATGGGAGGCAATACTGGAAACTGGGATTTTCTTTATGACGAAAGTAAAGTTTCACTGAACTGATTAATTTACCAGGATTATTTTTGCCCTGATTTCATAAGGACCAGAACCTTACACAGACCAATTCCAAGAGGAAAGTAGCCCAGGAGAAGTAGTATCAGCATTTACCATTAACCAAATACCGGAAGTCAAGAACACCATTATTACAGGTCTGATGAGGGAAAGTGTGGGAAATACAGGGAATGACTGCTATGTTAATTCCTATCAGGCCAGAAAAACTTTGCCAGTCCAGGAAAACTGGTATTTGGGTCCAGTTACATTAGCAATTTCTGCATTTGCCTCTTCTAATACAAGTTGCCAACCAGAGAGTTCCACCTTGATAAAGGAGTGATGTTGTGCCAAATGAACCAAGTCTTTATTTCCAATAGGAATTATTCACAGGGCAGAAAGTTTTCCCTCTGTTTTTGGTTTATCCATTTTAATAATCTTTTGTCTTTTTTGCCTCACCTGAAGCCGTGGACCAACCTTCGGTGAGTCCCCCTTAGCTTCAGGTTGGAAGGTTATTATGGCCGTATTGCGGATCATGGAGACAGGAGAAACCACCCGAATGATGACGGTGTAGAAGAAGTAGACAGGGACAGGCAGGACGGTGATGATGACGAGGAATATAAGCAAGGCTTTAGCCCATGATGGATAAATTCGGGTCACCTCATTTGACTGTGGAGAAAAGGGAACAAGGTTTAGAATGCCCAGGTTCTCTGAAGTGGAAGGCTGAAGAGGGTAGGGATAGGAGACAAACCAAGGTAACAGACTAAATAACTGAATCTCCAGGGAATTAGATGACTGTGTCCTAGTTGTAAGAGTGGACTTAGGAAAGGGAGTGGGGAGCAAAAAAGTGGACTGAAAAGTCTCATGTCCATTCCTTAGGGGTTTCTGGGGTCTGGGGAGGGAAGCTTACATTTCTTGAGTCCCATGCCAAGTAGGTGATATCCTTCACAGACAGGTGAATCAGGGTGCTTAAAAACAGGACTAGCAGCACAAATGGAGACAGAAAACACCACAGCCAACGATAGATGGGGGAGATAGGGCGGCCCATCATGATACTCAGGTCTGTAAGGAACCTGGGAGGAGGGGTCACAAGACTTTGGGAGGCCCATTCAAGCCTTACCCAGCCTTGGTGTGGGGGTCAGTCCAAATCTAACCTGGGAGAAAACCCTTAACATTTCTTAAACCTTTCTGTTCACACCTCCGCAACCAGTCTTCTTGCCTCTAATTCATCCACTTCAGTCTGGTTTCTGTCCCAGCCCCAGGGTTTTCTTTTACATCTCTCTCCTCCATCACCCTTCAGGATAAAAGCCCAACTTTCTGAAAGTAGCTTCTTTAAGCCCACACATCCAGCTTTCTTTGGTGCACCTTCTTAATCTCAATACATACAATTCAGGTTCCTTGTGCTTAGAACACCCTTCCCTCTTTCTTTCCCTTGACAAACTTCTCCTTCATCTTTCTGTATTCTATTCATGCATCATCTCCTTGGCTGACTCTTCTATCTTCTTTAGATAAAAATCTGTGTTTCTAGAGTTCCCTCAATTGCCTCCATCCTGCTCAAAGATATGTCTTTCTCCTTTCTCTCTCTTTCTCTGAGAGCAGAAACTAAATTTAATTTATCTCAGTATTCCCCAGTACTCCCCACAAGGCCTGCCTGGCAGATAGGAGGCTCTGAGAAATATTTGAGAGTGACTGGTTGCATGAATGAACAAACCGATGCCAAGAGTCACTATCACCTATAAACACTGCCACCCTTGGATTACACGGGGCTTCTCAAATAGTAGTGTGCATATGAATCACTTGGGGTTCCTGTTAAAATACAGATACAGATCCAAAGGTCTGGGGTGGAGCCTGAGGGTCTGCATTTCTGATAAGCTTCCAGGTGGTGCCAATGCCACTGGTCCACAGAGCAAGCTTTCAGAAGCAAAGCACTCCACATTTCAGATGTCCATACTACCCTGGTTGAAAGAAGAGCTCAGGAGCCCCTAGGACTTGATGTAGACTGCTTGCCACTTTCCCAGTTTACATTGATATTCCCCTGGAACCAGCATGTTCTTCTTTTTTCCCCACCCTCCTGGGATCTCTCCATATGCCCTGGGATAAGAGCCTGGCAGTAAGAACAAAAGGGACTCTTAGCTGTGTGGCAGGAAATTCTGGGATTGGAACATCACCTCCTGGCCCCATAGATCCAGGCCATGGCAATGGTCTCCAAGATGACAATGAAGAAAAGGGGCAGAGATACCCAGTAGTCATCCAGCAGGTTCACATAGTAGCTGCCTGAGGGCCTCACAAAAAGGAGGCTGCCCAGGAACATAGGCACACAGACACCCACTGGAGAGAAACATCAGATATAAATCAAGGTCAGTATCAAAGCTGTGCTATGTAAGCCCCACTGGGGTTAAACTAAATGATGGCCATAGGTGGGAGTAGGGTCATAGGTCAGAGTACCTGTGAGCAGCTTTGAATGCTCCCTGAGGGAAGAGAAAGTATCCTGGAGAGGGGTGATGATGCCTTGTATGATTCCTATCACAGTGCTCAGCCCCAGGTTCACCAGCAACAGGAAGGTAATGATGGACCAGAAGGTGGGTCCAGAAAACAAAGAGATGATATCACTAAATGTCACAATGACCACACCTGGACCGATCATAACCTGTGAATGAAGGGAAGAATGGTGAGGGCTCTGAGCTCAGTCTGGGGAGCTCTAACTCCATTTCCATCCTCTCCCCTAGAAAACTATCTGTAGCCCTGTTCATGGATATTATTATACTCATCTGGCCTTGAGGCATGAGGATTTCCTCCTGGTCTAGCAACTCTTTGGGGTTGGGGTGAAGAAGCTTATATGAATTCTAGTGCTTTGTGCTACAAAGGCTACAACTGCCTTATCACAAAAGGATACTATGAATCTTGATCGTGGTTGTCCAAGATGCTTCTGAGAATTGCCTTTCTGAATTCTACAGACACCTAAGCAATGTGGAAGTTTCTGGTGCTCTGGGGGCTTTGAGGGGAACCCTACAGCCCTATCCCCAATCCCCCACCTACCTTATTCAATTCCTTAGATAAGTCACACTCAGTCAAATTGGGTAGGATTCTGTTTTTGATGTGTTCAGGGAGGTTGTTGAGCCACTTGGGGAAGATGGAGCTTGGATCATAGTACAGACTGTCTGGAGGGTAGGCCTCAGGCGGCAGGACCTGGGCAATGATCAGATCCATCACTTTTTTGGCATTCCTGGGGACAGGAGTAGAATTATATAGGACCGTTTGGCCTTTGATATAACCTACTCCCTCAGCCTCTAGATGAAAAGGGAAATTACTAGCCTAAAGTTTTTGATTTGATTAAAGTAGGGCCTGCACTGAATCCTAGGTATCCAGGATCCTGCATGACACCTATTTTCATCATCACAGAAATGTTTGTGTGAGGCCAGAGAATTTCTGACTGAGGCAGACTCCTGGAGGGGTCTTTCCTATAGTACCATTGAGGGTTTTCAGATTTTTACCTCCTACTAGACAATCTCAGGATAACGTTACGGCTTCTTGGCTTTCTTGACCTGCTGGCCTCTTCAACTTCTTTATTTGCAACTCTCAACCTTCTATACTTCAGCTGTCCTCAATTATTAAGCCTCTTTCAACTTGCCATGCTCTCTCGATTGTCTTAGCGTCTTTGGTCCCTGATGCTCTCTCTGCTTAGAACTATCCTATTCTATCTGCACTCAGTCTCCCCCAATTATGCCCTCTAAACTTTCTCCACCTGGCAAATTCCTACAAATGCTTACTCAGCTCGCTGCACTCTATTTACTGCCATGGAAATCTACTCATGATCTCTTATGAGAGCAAATCAACAAACTGCAGAAAAGTAGTATGGTATAGGCCAATTTTTTTTTAAATGGCATGTTTTTTATATACGAGTCTATGAATTGGAAACACTTGAAAGAACACTCCCAGTGATTACTTGTCAGGAAACAAACTCAGCTCAGGATTGCCTCTACCAGGAAACCTTCTCTGGCTGCTCCAAGTTAGTAGCTCCCTCCTCTGTGTCCACTCATCATTCCCACTACTAGTCCTCATCTAGTTTGTGATTATCTGTTTACTATTTGCTTCCTTATTTTCTTGAGGTCAGGGATGGTAACCTAGTTTACCATTGGCTGTGTTGCCAGAGCTCAACACAGGGGCTGGTATATAGGAGATGTTTTTATAAACATCTGCTGAGCATTTTTTGAATGAATGTTATAGGAGAAGAAAATGGGGAACAGGCTATGGGGACCCTGGTGCAGCAGGCCCTTTTTTTGTCTAATGGTTCAGCTGAAAGTATCCTCTAATTTGTCCATGGCAGCCTCCAGTTAAGAATGGGGTGAACACACTTTTGAAAACCTCCAACTTTGGGAGTTTCCTAGTTTAGAAAGGCATCTTTGAAAGGGACAGAGGTGGTAGAATTCAGGTATTTCTAAGGTTTAGGATGCTCCAGTTTGAGGACACCATATTGACAGCCAACTTCCTTGAGTGATGGGAGCCTAGACTGGAGTTGTGTGGGCTAGTTCTAAGACTTTGGTTTTTGTGACAATCTCCATATGAAAGATTGGGCTCACATCAAGTAACATTTTTCGGTGTTATCTGTGACCAAGTGGCCCATTACAGCAAATACAAACACTGTGGTAGTCAGTGAGGCAAGCAAGTTGAGAAAAGCCACAGCATAGGCATCAATGATACAGTTATTGGACCGAGGGATGTACGAGCTGATTGCTGTGAAGCTGCCGAAGCCGGGGCCCAAGGACAAAAAGAGCTGGTTTCCTGTTCGGCGCCACACTTCCACAGAATACAGGGCTGGTACCTGAGAAGGAAAAGTACCGTGTAAATGGGGATACAAAGAGGGGAGAGACAAGCCAAGATGGAAATGGAAGATGAGAAGAGAGTGAAAGAGGGAGCTAGGAGGGTCTCTATCAGACTATCAACCCTACTATTTGGATAAGAGACTTAAAGGGTGGGTGATGCCTTACCTTGGCAGCCAATAAATTCTTGAGCCCAAAATATGCGCCTTTCATCATGAGACTCCGGATAAGAAGAGAGAAAAGGATGATGTAGGGAAGGAGTACTGAGATATACAGCATCTGAGTAGGAAGTATGATTCACAAAGAAAGTTCAGCAGAGGCAGAAGTCTGTAGAATAAGATCAAAGGCTATTGGGAATCAGAGGGAGGTCATATTAGAGGGAATGAGAAATTGGAGATGTATAGGCATCAAGTTAGGAGAAGATTAGGGGATCTCAGATAGAAGGAAGTCCACTGAATTAGTAAGTCAGAGGGTAGCTCACCTTCCCAGTGGACTTTGGCCCTTTGATCATGGAGATGCAGATGATTAACCAGATCACAAGGACAGAAGCACTCAAATGTAAGAGTGGTTTCCCATCTACCTCGATTTCATCTGTGGCCTTCAATACCTTCCGGTACCAGAAGTATGTGGTGGGGTTGGTCCGTGAGCATTCAGAATCTGAGGTGAACTGGCCATGGAGGAAACTGCAGGACCAGGTATGCCTCCCCCTTCTTCACATCCACCCACTCCTTCCAGTCCCATTTCAGCGTATTCTCCCAAGGATCCTTTTCCTAGTTCAATCCTCTGTCCTTCTCCCAGCCCTCCCATTTGCCCTTTTCTTCCCTCACTTCTCACCAGTACTGGAGTTCTGTGATAGGGGGCACAATAACCACGGTAGTGGAGACTGGAAAGACTGAACCAAATAGAAGAGATTCCAGGCCATGAGCACACTGTAGTACAAGCCCACGATGACGCACACCTGGGGACCATGAAGAGTTCTGGAGACAGGCAAAGGGCAGGCTGGCTGAAGGGAGGACTGGGGGACCGAGTGGACTTGACCCTGGGAACTGAAGCACGGGACCCATTCCAGGATGAGGGCTAGGATGGGGATGGGGTGTAAAGGGTAGGCCTGGGCAGCCCAGGGCTCCTCACCATGAAGCTTGTATACCCTACACCACCAATCCAGGGGCTGATGACCTTCCACACACCAATGCTGCCCTGACGCATCCTCTGACCAGCTGCCATCTCCAGGAAGAGAAGAGGAATCCCAACCAAAAACATCATCAGGATGTAGATGATGATAAAACTGCCTGTGCAGGGAGATCAAGGAGGAGCTCTTAGAACCAACCATCTGGCCTGGACTTCTTCATAGGTCCAGGAAAACATGTTCCCCACCAGTGACCTCCCTCAGGGCCACAGGCATCAAGGGTCAACTGCTTCCACATCCCTCACAGTCCCAGGTATCTAGCCCCCAATTCCTGGAAGACCAAGATACCTAGTCTCTCTCGCCTTGACCCAGGCCTCTAGCTTCACAATTCTTATGAAACTAAGTAATCAGATATCCTGCTCCCACCCTCCCAAGGTTCTAGGGGTTCAGGTACCTGGCCCCTGCCTAGGTCAGTTTCCCAAATCCTCAGCCCCTATGTGTCTCAGAGACCCCAGAGTAGCTAGGACAGGTCTCTGGCTCCTCACCCCCTTGTAGGTTCATGATTTCTGGTCCCCAGGCTTACCACCTCCATTGTGAAAACACAGATAAGGAAAGCGCCAGATGGTGCTTAGCCCCACAGAGAAGCCCACCTGGGCCAGGAGGTACTCAGTTTTATTGGCCCAGATTGGTCGTTCATGGGGGGCTCCATCCTTTGGCTCATCTTTGCTTAGGGTCTCCAGTATGTCTTCATTATCTTCATCAGACCAAACTTGTGCTGACAGAAGGTCAAACTTCTGGCTCTCCTCAGTGGGCAGCTCAGACACTAACTGGTAAGCTGAGGTAGTAGCAGTCAGGGATATGGAAGTTGAAGGTACAGACAGCTGAGATTTCTCTTCCTGAGTCTCCATGTCTTCATTAACAGTTGTCATCCTGGGTGAACTCTAATTGCTGCTTCTGCAGGGATGGGGCCTCCTTCCTCGTTGACCTTAAGGACATTAAGACCTGCAGACTTTAGGTTTATGAGCTAAGGGAAGATGAGATTAATCCTGCAAAAACCCCTGAGGCCTCCCCAACCTTCTTATCCTTATGTGGTAAGAATATGGAGTCTCCATTCTGGAAAAGATCTCTAGGAAATAATAACTTAAAACAATACCATCTACAATACCAAAAGACTTAAAATAATTTTATGAGGAATAACTTTATAACAAAAAATAAGCAAGACCTTTACACACACACACAAACTATAAAATGTTGTTGAGAGAACAAAGAAGCCCTAAATTAAGGGATGTAACATGTTCATGAATTGGAAGTCTCAGTAGTCTAACAACGTCCATGATGCCCAATTTGGTCTATAAACTCAATGCAATTCTTATTAAAATCACAGCAGGGTCTTTGAGAAAATTGACAAGCGAATTCTAAAGTATACATTGAAAGCAAAAGGCCTAAACTGGTTAATACAATCTTGATGGAGAAGAAAAAATGTAAAGACTAACTATAAACATATAGTAATTAAAAGAGTATAGTATTGATAGAAGGATCTATGGCACAAATAAATCAATGGAGTAATATGCTACGATGTCCAATATGGTAACTACTAACCAGAGGCTATCTAAATTAAAACTAAGTAACATTAACAATTTAGTTCCTCAGTCATACTGCCACATATCAAATGCTCAGCAGACACATGGATACCATATTAGAAGGACAGATATAGAAATTTCCATTATCACAGAAAATTCTTTGGATACCAGTGGGAGAGCTCAGAAACATACTCACACATATACAGACACCTGATTTACAACAAAGATGGCACTGCAAAGCTGTACAGAAAGGACACTGCTTTCAGTAAATGACTAGCTGCTTGCGCGATTGGATATCTATATAGAAATAAATGAACCTCGGCCTCCTCAACTTCACACGTTAAATAAAAATATATTCAGAGCAGACTGTAGTTATACAAAAGGTAAAACAACAAGATTTTAAGATGAAAACCCCAGGAGAATATCTGCATGATTTGAGGGTAGGCACAGATTTCTTAGACAGTACACAGAAAGCACTAGTCATAAAGGAAAAGTTTGACATATTGGACAAAATTAAAAATAGAAGTGTCTTTCAATCAAAAGTTACCATTAATTGAGTAAACACAGACAAATCACAGAAGATATCTGCAACATACATGGTGAACAGAATCATGCCCTCTTCCAGGATATCCACATCCTAATTCCTGGAACCTGCCAATATGTTACCTCACATTTCTATGTAATTAAATTATGGATCTTGAAATGGGGAGATTATTTGGGATTATCTATGATGGACACAATGTAATTACCAGGTCTTTGTAAGGGAAAGAAGGAGACAGCAAGTTCCAAATCACAAAAGGGAGTAGGATAGCAGAAGCAGAAATCGGAGTGATATCCTTAGAATATATAGAAAGGAGCCATGATTCAAGGAATGTAGATGAATCCTAGTACGTGGAAAAGGCTAGGAAATGGCAAAGCCTAGGTCCTCTGTAAAGAACACAGGCCTGCTGACAACTTGCTTTTAGTTCAGTGAAACCGATTTCAGATTTCAGACCTGCAGAATGTATAAGATAATACATTCATGTTGTGTTAAGCCACTAAGTTTGTAGTTATTGTTACAGCAACAGTAGGAAACTAACAAAATACATAATCAAAAAGGGCATGTTTTTCCCCTAAAATTTATTTTTTAAAAAACACCCACAAATAAATAACAAAGGCAGGAGGGAAGAAGTGGAAGGAAGGGAGCAGAAAGCTCAAACAGGCATATTATCAAAGAAGATATACAAATGGACAAGAAAGAGGAAAAGATACTCAATGCTCAACTTCATTCATCAACAAGAAAATGTAAATTAAAACCACAAATGAGAACAGATTGGTGTATATGTGATAAATCAAGTATGTCAATATGTTAACTGTAGAATCTAGGTTGATGGGTATATGGATGGTCACTGTATAAATCTTTGAACATTTCTGCATGCTTAAGAATTTTTTCACAATAAAATATTTGGGAGGACACCACAATAAGATACCACTATATATCCACTAGACAAGCGAACATGAAAAAGACTGATTAAACCAAATGATGGCACGTGTGGAAACTTCTGGAACTCATATACACTGCTGGTAGGAACACAGATTGCTATAGTGGCTTCAGAAAACTAGTTGAATGTACCCACATACTTTAAATATTTTCATACATTATCACCCTTTCCAAAGCGATTATCTAACAGAAATGTGTACATAAGTGCAGCAAAAACCACATTCAAGAATGCTCATAGCTGCAATATTCATAACTGCCAAAACCTGAGAACAACCCAAATATCTTTCAACAGTAGACTTAATAAGTGAGAGTATATTCATATAATGAGACAACAGCAAAGAGTTGATTACGGTATGTGCAACAATCTGGATGAATCTCAAAAATATTATTTTGAATGAAGGAAGCCAGGAAGAGAAGAGAACATACTATATAATTCTATTTATAAGAACAGGCAAAACAAATTTATGGTGTCAGAAGTCAGGATAGCATGCGCACGTTATGACAATTTATCTAGCCATAATTATGATTGTACATGCCTTAATATAAAAGTTTTCAATAAAAGTTTATCTAAAAATAAATGTTTTGGGGAAATCCTGAATTTCTATACAATAACAATAAACAGAAAGTGGATTTTAAAAAGAAAGATAGCACAATAGCAACAAAAACTTTATGACATCAAGAAGTAAATATAAACAACATTAAAAGTCTTAAATAAAAGCAGAAATAGTCTATGTTCATGGGCATAAATACTCAGTACTGTAAAGATGGAATTTCTCCCCCAAATTTATAGATTCAATGCAATTCCAATCAAAAATCTCTAATTTTTTTTTCATGAAAGCTAGCAAGATTTTACTCTATATTTATTTGGCTGTGCCAGGCGGCATATGGGATCTTAGTTCCCTGACCAGGGATCAAACTCACACCTGCTGCATTGGAAGTGCAATCTTAACCACCAGGCCACCAGGGAAGTCTCTACAATTTACACAGAGGAATAAAGTGTCAAAAATAATGAAGAGACACCTTCTGTTACTGGCCAAGGTGGAGTGAGCTAACGACATACAACCAATCCTAATTACAGTTAAAATCTCTGGATAGAATACAGAAAGCAACTCCCTGAGGACTTTGAAAAGTAAATAGCAGCAGTCAGAATGGGTATTTAAGTTAACTTGAATAATGACTTATAATGCAGAGAATGAGTTTCACATATTTTTTTCCCTCCTTTGTCTCTGATCCAAGAATAAGCTGAATCACAGACCTATACAACAAGCACTAAGTGAAAAAACTCCAGGAGAAATCCCCTATTTCTCAAGGACCAGGAAAAGGAGCTCCTATGCCTACTCCCACCCCCAAATAGGATGGAGGAAATACCAATTTCCCCTTCACAACCTGGAGGCTTACAAGTATGAACTACATAAGTATGGAATGAATGCAAAGAAGCACAGCAAGACTTTGAAAACTGAACAGTGATAGAAACAACTGACCAAGCCACAGACTAACCCTAGGGTGGCACATGCTAACCCAAATAGCATCACAAAGGCTGTGAAAATTGAACTAACATTGTAACCACACCCATAGAAGATATGACAAAATTTGCCATCTCAACTTAACCAGGTTGACAGTCTGTTAAAACAAAATAAGCAAACAAATTCAACATTCTCCAGAGGATATTAACAAGATCTTGAGTCTCAAGACATAATATTCAAATTTTCCAGGATACAATCCAACATAACTCACCACTTACACACACATACACACACACACACACAAATCTGACCATTTCCCATGGGAAAAGACAATAGATGTCAACCCTGACTGAGATGACTCAGATGATGGAATTATTACACAGACTTATTTTAAAATTTTTTATTATTTTTCCAGTTTTTAATGAGGTATGATTGACAAGTAAAAATTGTAGGGACTTCTCTGGTGGTCCAGTGGCTAAACTTCATGCTCCCAATGCAGTGGGCCCAGATTCAATCCTTGGTCAGGGAACTAGAACCAACACGCCACAACTAAAGATCCCGCATGCCGCAACAAAAGATCCTGTGTATATATATATGTGTATATATATACTTTTAAATTATATATATTTATGGTATACATGTGATGTTTTGATATATGTGTACATTGTGAAATGATTACTACAATGAAGTTAACTAACATCTCTCATCTCACACTTACCATTAATTTTGTGAATGTGGTAAGAACACTTAAGATCTACTTTCTTAGTAAATTTCAGGTCTACAATACATCATTAACTGTAAAGTCATTGTGCTGTACATCGAGAACTTACTCATCTTATAATTGAAAGTTTGTTCTCTTTGACCAACAACTTCTTTTCTTCCTTCCCTCTGCCCCTATAATCACTCTTCTTTTCTTTGCATGAGTTAGACTTTTTTAGATTCCACATATAAGTGAGATCATGCAGTATTTATCTTTCTGTGCCTGGCTTATTTCACTTAATGTTCACAAGGGCTTCTCCCCGTGGGTCAGCGGTAAAGAATCTGCCTGCCAAAACAGAAGACTCAGGAGACACAGGTGCGATCCCTGGGTTGAAGATATCCCCTGCAGAAGGAAATGGCAAACCCACTCCAGTATTCTTGCGTGGAAAATCCATGGACAGAGGAGCCTGGTAGGCTACAGTACCGTAAGGTTGCAAAAGAGTCAGATATGATTGAGCACAGCACATAGCGCAATGTCCATGAGGTTCGTGTTGTCACAAATGGTAGTTTCCTTAAGGTCAATAATAGTCCAGGGTGCACACCTGTGTGTGTGTGTGTACCTGTGTGTGCTATTAATACATTTTCTTTACACCACTAAACCACTGATGGACACTTAGTTGTTTCCATTTCCCAGCTGTTGAGGTTAACGCTGCAGTGAATGTGAGAGTGCCGATATCTCTTCAAGATTCTGATTTCATTTTCT